GATAACGTAAAAATTACTTGAACAACAAATAAATATTACACGATTAAAACTAAACAACACATTTATTTAAAAAATGGTAAAAAGTACCTAAAGAAATCAAACATAAAAAGCTAACAAATCAAACATAAAAGCTTATAAATCAAATATAAAAAAATAAAAAGCTAACATCAGGAACAAAAAAACATTTATTGAATTTTACTTTCAAATGTTGGTATATTTTCTTTTGATTTTATTCTTGATCGAATAAAGTCCTCTCTTGAACCAATTTCTAAAGAAGATGACTATGTAACTAATTTTACGCATCTCTCCACGGATTGAATATGGCAAAGGAACTTCGGAAAATCAAAGTTTGGAATTTCGGTTTCGTTTATAAGGTCTCTAAGATTATTATCAGTAAAATCCCTTAAAACATGAGGCGGTGTCACATCCCACTCAGTAAATTAACTCAAAGTAGTCTGTATAGTAGTAGTAGTCTGTATAGTAGTAGTATTTCTCTAATTTAGCACACTTTTGTGTGTACAATGATACTTGATATTTTATCTATTTGTTATAGTGTGTTTAAGCTCTATTGATTTAGGGCGGTTATTAAATAACTCGAATTACCTTGAAAAAGAAGTTGGGCACCACTATATTTAAAACTTACTATACTTGAGTTTAGATTAGTGATAAAAACATAGAAAATCACTAACCACTAACAAATTATATTTAAACAAAGTTTTAGATAAAAGGAAAAATATTATTTAACATATTTAAACGTAGTAAAGAATAATATCTTATTCCAAACAAAATAATATATAAAATTATATAAAACGTGTTATCCATGTGTGTTACTCATTGTTGATAGGTATTGAAATTATGTTCAAAATTTGACATTTGATTTAAGAAATTCTTGGACAAAATATATATTTTCAACAATATATCAGTATTACAACTTACCTTACAAAATCAGACGGCATATAGATAAACATTATTTAGTACATCGGATGGCCAAGGTAATTTAAAAATTAAAATCAACTTGATTCGTTGACAATTTCAAATCAAATGTAAAAATCCGAACGTTTGACACAAGGCAAATAAAAAAAGAAGATGACAAATGACATTTGAGTAGAGGTAAATGTGTCAAAATAACGAATAACGGTTCCAACCGTTACATGTGTTCTACCACTTCTTCATCAAAATTGTACAAGTAATAGTTTTGTCACATTTATCTTCTAATTCATTCGTTAAAACACATATCCACTTGTTATTATACACTTGCCTTGAAAATCACCTTGTATATGAACCTTTTGAACTTGTGTGCTTCAGTAAGTTTTATTATGGTATTTTCAGACAGCGAAAGTATCGAAAAGTTTTAAAATATTTTTTACCGCTGCACGGCTGAGGGTAGAGGGATTATTTATATACTCTACTGTCGTGAAAATCGATATTGCCTTCGGGAAATCCCCTAATTCGATTATGCTACACAAAGATTGCCGTGTTGTTATGCAATTCTATGTACACAAGGGCTTTAATAGTAGTATAACACTACCGTAAATAAAACATTTTTTTATATAGAAAATATATTTTAAATGATTTTATACTCTCATGCATTCATAGTACTATAAGATATACGTCCATTTTTGGCTCTGTTCCATTTACATACTTTTTTTTTTCTCTCCTGGGCTCGCCTGACTATGTGTCTCCGAATAACACTGAAGCCTATTGGCTTATTGTGTTTTACCCCATGTTAGTTCATAGCACCCACTCTATCACCTTTGTACCTTGTACAAGTTTGTACAGATCCTTGGGTGAGTGGGTTCTATACGTTGTTAGATCAACCTGGGGTTGTCCAAAAAAGAGCCTGTCTTTTGCGATCTAGAACTTCGCAGTCGCACAGTATGTGTTTGGCCGTTTCTGGTTTCTTGTGACATAGTCGGCACATTCCCCCCCCCCCCCCCATTGTACATGCCAATTTTGTTCAAGTGTCCCTTTACTGGGGCGTGCCCAGTCATGAACCCTGTTATCACTTTCAACTGGTTCCTATTCATTAAGAGTAGTTCTCCAGTTCTTTTGGGACATGGTCTGCCTATGAAGGCTTTTCCATGTGCCTGTTTTGGGGTGCTTCCCCAATAGTTGATATGTTGTTCCCGAATCCAGTCATTTATAAAACCCCGGACTGTACTTTTTGGTACTCCTGGGTTTGTGTCTGGTTCCGGTGTTTCTTCTGACCCTCTTTTTGCAAGTTCGTCAGCCTTTTCGTTGCCTTCGATCCCTTTGTGACCTGGCACCCAAAATAGTTTTACTTACTTACTTTACTTACTAAAATATTTAATTTAAGAAGTGGCGCTGCATGTCATACATCAAAAAAGTGTTAAAATGGTTTAATGATAATCATTATTGAAAATATGAGGAAAACATATATGCATTTGCATGTTTCTAGCAATTTTTTTTTTTTAGTTTTATACATTCGTTCACTGTATATCTGCGACCATAAACGTTTATGTGTATTTACGATACAACATAGTTCGGTACCATTATAATTAAATCAAAAATGAATTCAATTACAGTCAAATCGGCTAACTTTGGACCAATGGGGCAACATTAGACCAGACCATGAATTTAATTTACTGTTATCGTCTAAAAAGGAAAGATATCCTAATATTTACAATAGGACTAATAGCTAATTACAACTACAACTTTGTAAAAAAAAATGAAAACTTAAATACAAATTAATTGTAACTAATAACTGACCTGGGGTCTCTACATTAAAACTAATATGGTTTTATCTTACCCGTAGTCTTTAAATTGTAAGAAATCAGTAATTTCTCTCGATGAAAATACTTTGATCAATGTTACCCCAAATCCAATATAACTTTGGACCACACCCAAAAATATATTTTTTTTACATTTACAATAAATTTTAATTTTTTTTAATTTAAACTTCATATAGATCATTTTACAGGAACACCAGTAGGTGCATTATTCAATATAATTGTGCAACAATAACAAATAAATTCAGATTTATAAAACCTGGTCCAAAGTTACCCGATTTGACTGTATATAACATAACAGTAACTCACAATTTAAAAACCCTCATTTATTGATATATATATGATGGGAGCCACTTGGATATAATAACTCAATAACTGTAATTAAAAACTGAACGCCACCGTATTTAAATCTGCATATCTCTACGTATAAAGTAATTAATGAAAATACGGAAACAAAAATTAATATTAAATTTAAATGAAAAATAGATAGATACAAGAGTTTCAAATAATAAAATCACTTTTGAATTTAACTGTTTTTGCTTAGCACTCAGTCCAGAAAATAAGGGACTTATCTCAATGAGGTAAAGCTTTTTCAAGGGGGTAGAATAGGTCTCATCTTCTGTGGTACTTAGATCCTCAAGACGTTAATATATATCAGATCAGCATATCTTCTTCATATAACCAGGTAACAATTCTTAATCATTCTTCAAATCAAAAAACCATCATCCAAATCATTCTTCAAATAAAACCATAAAAAAACATTCATATGTTGCTTCGCATATTTAATTTAATGGCTTTTTTAAATAAAAAGAACCTCTTCTTTAGAGATCATCTCGATAATATTAAATTCACATAAAATTCAGGTATATAAGTGAAATCGAAATGAAAGTTGACTGACAGACCCGAATTGTCATCCAAGGAAAGAGATGGGGCGATAGAGGTATTTGAAAAATAACGGTATGGAACACAATTTTTATTTTGAGGTTATTCTTGGGGCCCCTAAAAAAGGGGGGTTGGGTAATCATTAACAGCCCAGAAAAGATATAAAAAATGGGTGGTAGAAGGAGGTCGGACTATTCTTCGAATTTTTCTAATTTTTTATTTATCTATACAACCAATATCTCAAAATACTCTTAGGTGGGGGGTGCATTCCCACCTTACCTAAATTTAGAGGGGGGTGAAGTAATCGAGGTAGCCACTAAATAGGAGCATCCCGACCTCTGCCAATCCATCTTCCATGGTATTGTTCGTTTAAATAATCTCTCACAATGCGGGAAAAATGAGGTGGTGCTACATCGTGCATGAAAAACATGTCAGGGCATTAATTGAGCGGTAAGTCTTTAACAGTTGAGGCAAATCTTGACGTAGAAAATGAATGTAACTATCACCGTTAAGACTATCTGGCAATCTTAATGGACCAGTCAAGTGGGTGTCAATAATACCTATCCATACAGTAATTTTAAACTCTCGTTGAAAATGTTTCTCTTTAAGGGCATGTGGATTTTCGTTATGTTTATTTGTTATACAACGTCGTGTAAAGCATAACTCGTCTGTTAACAAAATGTTTCTGTGAAACACTGGATTGGCCGCTCTACGCTCTTGAAAGACTTGTACAAAATGCAAACGAGATTCATAATCAGGAGATAGGAGTTCCTGGACACTTTGAATGCGAAAAGGACAAATAAGTTGTTCTCTAATTATTCTGTTGGATGTGCTTTTTGAAACCCTAGTTTGGCGTGCCAGTCGTCGGGTACTAATTCCGAAATTATTTTCAACTATTTCAAGTATTTTCTTCTCTGCAGCAGGAGTTCTGGCTTGACGAGGTCGTCCAGCAATATTTCTGTTGACCAGTTTCTCGAAGTCGCCTCTCGATAGAAGCAAATGTCTGACTTATCTGTCAAAGCAAAAGGTTTATTACAGTAAAAACCATGGGAACATGATTAAATCTAAACGGAAACTTTTATTAGGCCGATCAGATGTTTTAAAATTTTTATTTTAACTACAAATAAGCATTGAAGGATGAGGTATAAATAAAGTGTCTACCTCTTGAACCTATACTACTCGTATGTTCTGAAAATTAAATTGCTGCACTCCTTTCTTTTCTAGACTATAGTCCAGCAAATAGTCTTGATGTCACATTAGTTTAGTAGGGTTTTTACTATGTCAGTAAATATTTCCTTGTTTATTGAATGTTCAAACTATTTTAATAACAAGAAAAAACTGCCTATTTATTATATTAAATTGTTACAGGATCTCCCAACAAAATCGCATAGTACATGTAGTGATGGATCGTTACTTAGCATGGGCAGTTATGAGGATGTGGTGAGTAGATATATATTTTTATTTTTACTGTTAATATAAAACTACAGTTTAATTACGGTTTATTATTATAATGAGATCTATGGCTCATTCTCTTTAAAGATACTTAACTGTTTACGTACAGTTGACGAAACCGAAATGCCGAAATGTGAACACCAAAATTGACTTTACATCATAGGCGTTCGTCGCATTCAAATTTGATAGAGCTTAAAAAGTATTAATATTGAAATTTTAAAAAATGGCGCAGCATTTATTTAACTGAGGTTCAAAAGTCGAGGGCTATAGCAAAATTGGAAAAAAATTGGTCTTTAAGTGGCTGCTGGATGTCAATGTGCTGCTAAATGTCAATAAAAGTTGCATATTTTATGTTAAGAAACGCTGGCAAGAAGAGAAAATATTTCAAAGACCTTTCAGACAAGGTATAGGGAGGAACTCTAATAAAAATGAGGACAATTCTCTCGTAGTATATCTGTCAAAATCCTTTTGGAACCGCTGTGAAAGCATGAGAAGAAACATTATTCCCATAACAGCTCAAGCTCAAATGCGTTTAAAAAACTGCACTGCTGTCCGCAAAGTTTTTTGAACTACAGAAAATAAGCACAGAGTCCAGTTTGCAAATGAATTTTTAATTCACGGGGACGAATTTTGGAACAACGTGGTATTATCTAAAGAGAATACGTTCCAATCTTTTAATAGCGAAGAGCCACGAGTTTATCGTCGTAAATACTCTAGATTCGAAGAGAAATATACGTTAGGTACTAATAAACGCTTTTTCCTCAATGACTGGACGTGGATAAGCGTTAATGGTCGTGGAATGTGCTAGCAAATTACTGGGCGAATAACAGCTGAGCATTACACAAATATCTTACCATTAGTGTGAGAAGTTTGTCCTGACAATTTTTTTTTTTCAACACGTAAGAAATCAGTTTGATATTCTCATAAATGTTTATAATGATTGATTTTTATACATAATAATTTTCTAGTACATACGGCTCGAATAGTAAGAAAGTAGATCAACATCATAAATGTTTTTTCAAGGCCAGCAACAAGTCCCGACTTGTACCCCACTGAAAATGTATTAGGCTTCATATTCAAAAAGATATCTATGGGGAAAGGAGTACAACGAAAAATTTTGGTTAAATTAGTGTCATTCATCTATACTTAGTGTAAAACGTGGGTCTATTAGGGTCGCTATTGAACTTGAACGTCATAATATAAATTACAAAAATACATTTTTTGGTGGAAAATCAGTATAAGTCGACTTATGACATATAACAACATATAACCGCAAGTGCCCTTCCAGAGTCAAGATTCCAGATTCACTAACATAGATACTTACTGTTTTTTATGATTTAAAATTGTTTAAAATACCTTCTCTAAATTCGTCATCAGCTTCTTGACTAGTCTTAAATTCCTAGGACAGGCAGCATTCATTTTTGTCTATCTTAAGAAAATTGGAAAAGGTTGTGGCAGCCAATGGCTCTGAAGTAAAATAATAACACTATTCTTGCTATATCTGTTAAATTTCGAGGAGGGCGTTGTCTTCATTTTCATTAGAGACCTTCCCTACACCTTGTCTGAAAGGTCTTCGCAGTCTTTGTTTGCTCGCGTTTCCGTAAAATATGCAACTTTTACTGACATTTAATTTAGCAACCTCTTCACTTAAAGATCAATTTTCCTATAGCCTTTGATTTTCTCCTGTAATATATGGTTTTTGTAGATTTATGTATTCATTTTGTTGTAGCCCTTGATTTTCTATTATAATAAATAAACGCTTTTTGTACCTTTTAATTTTTTTATATCACATTTAATGTATATAAGACCAATTCGAAAAAACGGCACTAATAAAAGTAATATATTTTTGTTTTCAATATTCTCCCTTCTCTGTTATACCACTGGCCAAAGACGGACTTACAGAAATTAATTTCAGTAAAAAATCCAATGACAACCAAAAAGCGTTCATATTTGGGTTACGTCGACTGTACATTCGTACAGAATTATATATTGCTATTTCTATTTGTTCTAACTACAAAATTGTTTTGAAAATGGAATGTTTATCTTAACAAAAAGTTTGATAAATAATTCCAAACTAGAGGATATTAAAGTATTACTTAGGGTGTGTACATGCCAATGATACCTCGATAAGTGATCATTGATGATCGATAGGCAATGGTTTAGTACATGTCAATCGATGTAACAAAAATGTACAGATTTAAATGAGAGTGTGCATACCAAAGAATAGCACACTCTCGCACCATCGATGCTTACATCGATATTCACCACGATATTTACAGATATCTTGAAATCTTGAACGCCATTTGCTCGCCAAATTATTTCTGATGCGACGGTGCCGGTAGCGGTAGCACACGTCATAGAACGTATAGTATTAAAAAGTTTGGTCCAACAGCGATTAGAAACCAGTCACTGACACCATGATTCTGCGTAGTAGATTATTGGGACCGCCAAATTGTCTTCTGCGCAGAATCCTGGTGTCAGGGACTGGTTTGTGATTGTTGTTCGAACAGACCTTAACAATATGTCAATTATTATAAAGGGACATCCCAAATGGAAGAAAAAATTTGCTTCTATATGAATATACTTTAAAAAAATAACAAAATAAAAACCACGTCTTGAGGTAGGATAGGTAGGAGTGGTAGCTTTCTTGATTAAAAATAATATAAATCATTAATTAATACCAAATATAAATACCAACATTGAACATTTAATAATCAAAGTTAATAAGTGGGTAATAATAGGGGCATATAATAAACGACAAAATAATATGACACGCAGGAATCTGCACTCAATGATGTCGCTGGGAAACAGGATCATCCTGTTGGGTGATCTTAATAGTAAGCATTCTGACTGGGACTCCAACTGTACAAGAAACAACGTCAGCGGCAAAGTATTACAACAATTCGCAGATTATGATGTAATAATTCACTATACCGAATCACCAACATTTTTCCCCTTTTCAGGAGGTACACCGTGTACACTGGACATAGCGGTAACAAAAAACATACATAACGTTTTGACAGTAAGGACATTTCGCAGACTAAACTCAGACCATGATCCGGTGTACATAGAAATCAAGACAACACACAAAACACGCACAACAGTTTTACGACCACACAACGACGAACTGAAAAGAATATAGAAGAATTTTGGACAATAATATCACAATAAACAACAATATCACAACAGGACAAAAAGTAGAGAACGAAATTAACAAACTCACTAATGCACTAAAACTTGCCAGAGATAGAACAACACAATTCAGACATAATAAAATAGGAAAAGAGACGCTTTCACACGTATTACTTGACAAAATCAAACAAATAAACACAATTAGGAATCGCTGGCAAACTTACAGACGGTTAGACGACAGAATAAGACTAATGAACATAGCTAGTGTTATAAATTCAGACATAAAGAAATATCGTAACGACAAATGGCAAAAGACACTAGAAGAATTAAACACACAAAACAACTCATTGTGAAAACTTGCCAAAACCTTTTGAGCAACTTCCTCCCACCTTGGAAGACGGACAAAACACATACCTGACGAACTACGAAAAGGGGAAATCGTTCGGAGAATATTTCCAAAACAATTTTAAAAACGCAATTCAAAATAACGAAAGCCAACAACGTATTGAAACCATTGCAAATAATTTAAAAAAAAATCCAGCACAACCGGTAGGTACCCACAAAGGATCTAACAAATCCTTTGGAAGTCACGAATGCGCCGTGAAGATTACGGAACAGGAAGGCCCCGGGACCTGACCGAATAACAAATATTATACTAAAACACAGCAGCAAAAAACGATCGTCCAATTACATAATAAATTCTATAATTAAAAAACAATATCCTAGCAACTTAAAATCAGCATATATAATCCCAATTTAAATACCTAATAAACAATCTACTGCCCCATCACCCTATTGAACGGTCTTGCTAAAACAGTTGTAAGAATCTTACTGACTAGACTACATAACAATAAAATCGACAAAGAACACTCACCCCGAAGGTCCAGTGCTATTTCAGAGCAGATTGTTCGTATAGCACATCGCGCTAAAGAAGCCATAAATTCAAACAAACAAGCAAACGGTGCTAGTAGCTTTAGACACGGCAAAAGCTTTTGACGTCGTCTGGACTGGAGGGCTAAACGTAAATGACTTTCCCGTGTATATTGTAAAAACAATACAGTCATATCTACTCGAACGACAATTTCAAATCAAAATTAGCATTGACATAACAAGACCGTACAGAGCGAAATCGGGTGTGCCTCAGGACCCAATACTTTCGCCGCATCTGTACACCATTATGGCCAATGATATACCAATGGGATATCATCGTGTACAGACGGCACTGTACTCCGACGACACCTGCGTTTTCAAATCATCTAGATCGGCAGAAAATGCTAGTAGGAAACTAGACAGTCATAAATGAATAATTGATCCCTTATCTAAGCAAGAACAAAATGTCAATAAACTCAACAAAAACTGAGAGTATAACAATAACAAAAAAAAAAGGTCAATGGGTATAATAAATAAATTAAAAGTGCAAAATCAAGAAATAGAAACAACAAGTACTATAAAATACCTTGGATTTTACTTAGATACTTGATTGACATTCGGACAACATATTACAGACAGGGTAAAAAAGTCCAAAGCTATGCTAACTTTGCTTTACCCGATGTATACAGACTGTAAAGTTACACTACAAAATAAAAACCTTCTCTATAAACAGATCATAAAACCAATTTTAACATATGGCTGTCAAGTATAATGACCGAAAGTCATTATCTTAAACTCCAACGAGTACAAAACAGGTGCCTGAGGCTGATTCTGGGACACACAAAGAAAAAAAGGTGTACTATATTTAAGATGAATGGTCAATGCTTTGTTGTGTTTGTATATCTGCAAGTAAAACTTGTCTCGATTTGAAACTGTAGTAATACTTCAATAATAGCTACTAAGCCTTGCTTCAAGAAAAAAATCAACTTGCCCTAAGTAAAATACCTCTAATTAAAGAATATACTTATATTTCACTGTTGCTATTAGGTCGCTGAGGCCCCATCCATCTAACAAATGTTCCATTTCAATTTAATTTATTCATACACTTATTAATTAATTCACAAAGAATTTCTAACAAAAAATAGATCGCAACCCTAACGATACGACGCAAACTTGTTGGAAAATAGACAATAAGATGAACAGGTGATAATGCGAATTTTCCAGATTTTCTATAAATGCGTTGTGTCTCTGACTTCCGAATAATAATATAACATCTCAACATGTACTAGTCATATATATATACCGTATTAGTGCAGTGGTTGCATTTTAAAATATGTTTCAGTTGGCAACACCGTGCACTGAATTTATACTCGCTAATATTTTGTGAAGTACATAGGTTTTTGATTCGAATTGTTTAATTCTAATTCTAAAATTTAAATGCTTTGAATAGAATCCTTTTATAACATTGAATCAAATAAGCGATAGTCGGTTTTAAGAGCATATTATACTTACAATAAACGTAAGAGCTTTCTTGGATTAATTAAAAATTCTAGACTCGAATGAAATAATTTATTCTCAAATTAATTATTAAAAATCTCAAAATACAAGATTATTCCTACACTTCACTCAACATTTATTTTCTTATTGTATCGAGAAATATTATTTGAAGCAAACTGCTTTATTTCAAACAAATGTAATCTTCCAAGTGTAAAGCTTTTCTTGAATGTAGATGATAATTTTTTTCTGTGTATCATCACTCATCGAGGAGGATATCTTTGGCATGTACACCAATAATCTATCATCACTCATCGGTCATCGAATATCAATCATTGATCAAGGCATCTTTGGCTTGTACACACCCTTAATCATTTATAAAGGAGTTTGTGGTTTTTACATTACTTATTTATAAACTTTTCACCGGTTTAAATTAAATTTTGTTTTTAATATGAGATCCTACCAAGAATTTCAAAGAATTTGATTTTAAAAACACGTGCGCAAATGTTCATTATCGCTTTTAAAGTAGTCACTTTTCTCCAATCGAATATCAAATAGGGTGATGTTTTGCATGTATGTACGTATTGGAACAATTTGTAATCTTCCATAGTACCTAAAAGTTTACATAAGACAAATAAATATTTAACATTAAAATTTCTAAATATCTATTTAGTCTATTTTAATAAATACAGAAATATATAAAATTTGGCTTACATAGGGAATTGGCGGCGGAAGGGGGATCTGGAGAGCTAAGTCCTTACCCCCTACCCATATTAATGAGGTAGACCTGATCTGCGCTTCAGATTTTAAGTACACACCACTCTAGCCAGATTCAAGCCCCCTCCCAAGAAAAGTTATTCCGCCTCCATTCACATAGGCCTCTATGTATTATGTCATCGTAAAGACTAAGCAACTTATATACATAAATAGATTTTTTATTTGTTTTATACATTCCTTTTTCAAGACACTTTCATAATAATTACCTATCTATCTAATATATTTTAAAAGTAAATATATTTACCTTTTTTCGTTTTCAACTTAATAATAATAATAATCCTCTTTCTAGGAATCCTATGAACAACATTCTAGACATTCCTCAAAGTTGTCGTTACAGGAGAAAAAGCCTAACCAAGGTAAACATTTTATTTTTTATTAATTCCTATTTAACATATGTATAAATTATTGTTTTAATTAATAAATCAACCTTTAAGAGAATTCCTTTTCATATTCATTTTTTTTTTTTATTTAAAATAGAGAGATTTGAAAACAGTTGTACACTTCTTGTCCTTTTTTCATATTTTAGTAATAGAGTTTATTTTACTAAAAGAAATACAATACAAAATACAAATAAAAAGGTGCAAATAATAAATAATAATCCCAGTAAACCATTAACCTCTGGCAATAAGTCTGATACTTGAATGCAGGCTTGTGAGATTGTAGGACTCCTTTGTTAAGAATACTCATTCAATCATGCCCAGCAGAGTTATCAGTAGACGAGGCATGAATTGTATTCGTCTTAATTGATAACACTCACGTATCTTGGCTTTTTTAGATCTTTTTAGATCAGTTTTTCACTAATCTCTAGTGAAACTATCAGTTGCTAGCCGTTAGTGCTAATGATTTTGTCTGATACCTGCTATTTTGATATATTTTTTTTATAAATATTGTATATCTGCAATATTATTATATCGATTCCAAGACTTTGTGGAATTGTTTTCGATTTGGATTCATAATTACCAATACAAGTTTCTTCAATGGTCTTTGGTACCTATCGTCTGTGTAACAGATGGAAGGGTCATTATAGACATCGAGACTATTCCCTTGCTACCTTAACGACAGAAAGGGATACAATACACAATAGATCTTTTAGTCCGCAGTGTATTAATACCCCCATACATAACATGTGGAATTACGTCCTCTCGTGCTCTGTCTTATACCCCAAAAATTCAGAATTCCAACAATGTTTTTAGAAATAAAACCATTCGAAATTTTTGCGCTGACATCCGGTCTATATTTTTGATTGTACCAGGAGCCCCATATACTTTTTTTAATTTTAGCTTCTTTTAAAATCATTTTCATGTTGATAAATTTATGTTCAGTTGTAAAATCCTTTATTTATACACATTGTTTTATTCGAATTCTGTTAATTTGTTATTTTTGGGACAGATATTAATTTCTTTTTTTTTTAATAATATTATTATTATCTAGGATTCGTCCACTGCTGAACTAATTCCTATCACAAACTACTGACTCAAAAAAAATCCGAACATCTAATAACAGTTGATCACTTTTAATAGAATTTATAGAAAATATGTGTTTCATCTAACTTAAATGATTATATTGTCAACCTAAAATATTAAAAAATAATAAAGTTATTTAATGATGAGTGGGTCCGCCGCATTTTCTTATGCATTCGAGAACTCTTCGATACTTGAAATTGAATGATTTATGTGAATTTAGTAGTTGGGATAAATTACCTATACTCTGTTTTTAAACTAAGAGGAGCGATTTGAATTTAAGTTGGCAATTCTGTAGCCTTCTGATTGGTCAGATTACAGTCAGTCTCACACATTACTTTTTAGCGTGAACATCAGATAATAATTGATATTGTTGACAGTTCTGACATTTTATAATTTGATATCTCATCCATTACTTAGTTTTTTACTTTATTTCGTAAATAAGAGTTCTTCAGTAGGCAATTGTATTGAAAATCTACAATTATGGATCCTTCTACACTGAGTACTATTAAAGGTAGCAGTTCCTGAAAAGCCTTACAAGAAAGGGAAGACACCTTATTATCTTACATGCTGATTCTGAAGGTTTTGTAGAAAATGCATTATTGGTTTTTGAAGGTAAAAAGATGGGAGATTACCACGAAGAGATGAATTCCGAAGTATTTTAGAAAAAAATAATTTTATTACTGATTTTTTTAAAACTAAAAATGATGAATTTCTAACCAAAATGATTAAAATGTGACTAAATATTCAAGCAAATTTTATTTATTAGAATAGAATAAAACTATTTACAAAATTGTTTATTTATAACATTTAAAACACCATCTACTACTTTAGGGATAATCTTAATTTGGCACAATGAGTTAACATTATTTTCACAAAAAATATTTTAAAAATACTTAAAATTAATACATAGGTATGTATGAATAGTTCACTTTAAAAAATATATGTTGACATGTAGTGTTAAGAAAATGTTGTTTCCAGTGTTCAAAACAAATTCTGACTCATAGGCCTGGAAACTTTTGAATGTCTTTATTTGCCCTCTAGCGCATTAACCATGGGTTAACACTAAATAAGCCATAATATCCACATTACTCACAGAAGACATACCAGTTATTGTGTGATCCACTTGTCATTCACTGATTAACTTTTACTTTTTATACCTATAAAAAATATATCCTTAAAAATGTAAACAGATCTTTATATTTTATACTAATTTGGCTACATCTGGATATTCCATTAACAATTTTCTTAAATATTTATTATCCATTTTAAAAATATCATAGTTATTCTCAAAAAGTCGATTTCAAAAGCAAGAAAAAAGTATTTCTGACATCAATCAACAACCATATTGACTTTAATTTGACAGTGACATTTCATTTTAGACACACATTTCAGATCACAATAATGTGAAATTTGCAACCATTGTCTGGAACCAATTAAAAAATTACTTCTATGACATTTATTCATTTCTTAACCGCTCATTGGCCGTTCACCGATAAAGATAATTATTTCATAAATTTTGAACACGACTATATTTCGAAACTCGCTCTTAGTAAAAAATCTAGTTACTTTTCCCTGTGTAAATGCGTCTTTTCAATTCGCTCCTCCTAGTTTAAAAACAGAGTATAGTCAATTGCTAATCATATCTCACACATGTTCGATTGGTAATAAGTCTGGGAAGCGAGAAGGCCATGGAAGCAGGGTCACGGTATTTTCTTTTAAAATAACCTTGCTCTATGAGGATGTGCATTGTCTCTTTGGAAAAGGGATTGAATTAAGCGTCGTAGATATGACAGTGCAATTAGCTACAGTACGCTTCATATGTAATTGTAATCATTTAATCATTTGCATTCAAATTATTTCTATCAATAAAAACTAGAGGCGAACTGCTACCGTATGTTATCGCTCCGCCTAAGGGCTGTTTGCTGGTTCACAGCAAATACTCAATTTCTGCGTTCTCCACGTAATCGTATAACTTTTCTGCGATCATCGTGGACCTAAAGACAGAATCGAGACTCGACAGCGAACCCAACACGATTCCATTCATCATCCCATTTTGATCTCTACGAACAAAACCTAAAAGCACGTATTTTGCGATATATAGATGCCATATAGTCTTTTTGTTTGTAAAACCCCAACCAAGCATTTCCAATCGACTGTGTTATGTAAAGCTGCACTCTTCTTTTTTTTTATATAAAAAACACTCCATAAGAGGCGTTTATTAATATTACAATCTGATCAAAAGTTGATCAATGAGTAATTTTGTTCTAACCTCACTTAACTAAAGTTGCAATCTTAAAAGCTAAAGTTGCAATCTTAAAAGCTAAAATTACAATATTAAAAGCTAAAGTCTACTCGCTATTGTACCTTAGGGTCTAATAATTTAATTACACTAAGCTAACGTGTATGCTCTGTTTTGTTACTAATACACTCAGTTGGCTAACTCAAAAGGTTCACTCTCTTGAGTGTCCTTGTCAGGTTGATGTTGTCAAGAAGCTGAAGTTTGAGGACATGTATATACAGAAGAATTTTGTTAATATTATGTAGATATGCTGGAATGCCTACCAAATAACCACGAATATTGTATTTAGCTCTTGTCTTTTCTTTTTAACATGCGAAGTGTTGCATCTAATGTAATACCTAGATATTTTGCTAACTTAGCAAGGGATCTGGACAGTATTTATGTTAATTGGTATTTGTTGTCCATTTTTGTTAGTAAAGTTAGTATTGATAGATTTTGTTTCGTATAGTTTTGTCCAGTTATATATTTGATTAACTGATATGTGTAGTTTATTTGCAATATCTTCGTGATTTTTGCCTATTACTAGTTTGGTAGTATCGTCTGCAAATGTAGCTATTGTGTCTTGTCCTAGTAAAGTGGCTATGTATGTTTGAAGGAAAATCTTATATAAATTAACATGGGGAATCGATAAGGTTCATTCTGTCCATATCAAGATCACCCGTCGAGGATCGATGTCGGTCTTATCAGTAAACATGATAACGTCTGCTTGGAACCGAAAGAGTGACGTGTGATCAAGGGTGTTGTTAAAGAACGTTTGGAGACTCCTGAAGAGTCGAAAACGAAGAAGGGGAGATGAAGGATTGACGTCGACGATTAAGGATTCGCAGTAGCATTATCAAAAGGTTCTGTTTTCGATATTATTGGTCCGATTTAAACGATACAAACGACATTCAACTTGAATTGTTATTTAGCAGTCATTTGTAATAAATCATGCGCAGTAGCATTGCCAAAAAGGCATTATCGTCTCCATCATGATTTGTTTGATTCGAATGGAACAAACTGCATTCATCGGTGGTAATTTACAATGAAAAACATGATTGCTAAAAAGGTTCTATACCTGCCGATATTGGTCCGATTCAAACGGGATAAACGAAACTGAACTGACATTAACAGTGAAAAAACAAACAAGTGTCACTATTACGAGTGTCATTATTACTGGGTCGATTCAAACGGGTCAAACAGCATTCAGTGGTAGTTACTTAGTTGTCATTTTCAAATTAATAGGTGCTTCGCTTAAAGGACATAAACTCTGTTATTATTTCTTTGATTTAATTGGGGCAAACGATAGTCAACGTGCACTCTCATTTAGCTGTCATATATAGGTGAAGTGACAAAGACATATAAGCAACAATAAAATGTAGTAGGATTTAATATGCTAATAAAGGAATCTATATCATATTTTTAAAGTTGATAGCTCCAATTTTCCTAAAATTTAAATATTTTGTGTAGTTCAGTGTGCTAATAAAGGAATTAATGTTAAAAGGGCCGTTAGAAATATTTTTGAGTAACATATTAAATTAATCAGTTCGATTCGACTTGGGGTGTGTCACAAGTGTATAACAGGTACAAAGTGGGTCCCAGGACGCTTCACTGTGTTACTTCTGCTCTGATTGCTTTCAATTCCTCAATTGACGATCTTCCCTTGCGGAAATTACTCGAAGTTGTCCATATCCATGACGACGGTTATGGATTCTTTCTTCAGACCACCTGGACTAACAATGTATCACTGTTGACACACTGCATCCAATACAGTCGGAAATTTGTCCGGTTCAAAAAACCGGCTACTTACAGTCTTCTTTTCAATTAACTTAAATGCTTGAAAATTGTTCCTGAAGGGAGCTGACATTTCTATTCAATGGTTCGTAATGATGTACATCTCATTGCAGTTTTTACCTGATGAACTCTGGAGTCTAGAAGTTATCGGTGTCATGTAGAATATTTGAAATAATGTATTTGACACAATAATTTGTTAAGTTTACAAAATTCTTTAGATAAATATTTTCAGTTTGTGTGTTCTACATTTGCTTACAAAATAATTAAAATCGTTATTTCAGAAAGTATGTGTTTGCACACTACAGCATTCTATTGACTTCTGCCGAAGCGAGCTCTGAGAGTGATAAAAAATCAATAAAAAATTATTTTTTAAAGCTTTTAGTTGTTTTAGTTTCGCCAGTTATTAAATCACGCCTTTGCCTGGGGTTGGACCAATGATTTTGTTCAAAGTAGCGTTATCGATTAACGAGTTTTATATAGTTTGACTCCGTATTAAATAATAGTTTTTTACTAAGGGCTCGGGCTTGCACAGAGGCATATTCAGTATTTATTTACGGTTTAACGCATGTATGTTAACAGCGTCTAGACAATTACTTTTTAAGTGTCTACGAAATATTCAGTAGTATGAATAAAAATAATCAATTAATTGCTTTTACTTAATAATAAGGAACAAATCGTTGCTTATTTTTTAACAAATAAAATTTCTGAACCTTAATTAAAGTTCTTAGAGTCTTTATGAAATAATTCGTATTCACCTATTCTAGGTAGAAAAATTATTTTCAAGTAAAAGCAAATGCTTAATTCTTGTTGACACTAGAGAAAACTCAAATTTAAAAAGAAACTTTTTTGATAAAACAAAATTAAAAAAGTGGTTTCTTATTAGAGAGAAAACAGTAGTATAGAACATTTCATTGCAATTAATGGTAGACTCTTTCTGGTTATTCGGATTTTTTGAAAATCAGAGTATATCTTGAGGCATTTGCTACTAGTTTCTACTCGCTGTATGTCTGTGCATGTACAAACACATTGAAACTTATTCGGTAATAGTTTTCAACGTGCTTGCATGCTGTGATTTTAATAGCCCTTTATCTCTACATTTTATTTTTTCTAATCACCCTCTACAACTCCCCTCGCCGCCACTTTAATATATAAAAAGTTTTAGGTAAATTTATTTTCTTTCCTTATCTGGAAATGCCACATTTGAGAAAAATGGATGAACTACTCAACTTTTTTCATTTTTCATTTTATGACAAATTATATTCAAAGAGCTGGCAAACTTTATAACTAACGTATTTATCGTTCAAAGAATGAGTCTAGCTATCCCTTGAAATTGTAATTATAACTTTTTAACAACTTTCTTAGTAAACTTTTTTTTTGTTCCGTTTAAAGATTCCTACGTAGAATTCACACTAAGGTCTACAGGTACGCCACTTAACCACAGTGCAGCACACCATCGAGTATCACTTAAACCAAAAAGAACACATGGAGCACCAAAAAGAAAAAAGTCGCAAACGGTAAATAAAAATTATTTTTCTTATTTAGTTTATTAAATTTTTGATTTTATTTTTTTTATATTACTTTAAATACCCTAAATGTACAACATATTTACTTATTTAAAACAATAAATCAATTATTATATTCTAATTTTGCCCATTATTTTTTCTTAATTACAGAATACTTTTTACTTTATTAAATAATAGTACTTATTTCAAGTTTCGCTATTGTAAAACGACTATTTTACTGGGTAAAACATTAATTTGTATGTTTTAGCTTTCCAAAGTGCTGCCAGTTACTCCGGAAGTTAATGAAGAGTCGTCCATCAGGAGTATGTCGCCAGAAATTAATAAGAAAGGTAAATTTGCCTATGCGAATAACATTCTTTTTTCGTTAATTGTAGCTTTTGCTTTGGCTTATCACCATCCATTTTCGTTTACAAAAATATGTTTTATTTCGGGGTCCATCAGTGAAACGGGAAAATTTTAAGCTTGGTTATTCATTAGACGTCTTAATAATTCATGGGAACCATGAAATCAGCACCTTTTGATTGATATGTTTAGTCCCTAATAGAGTATGTTCCATTAGAGAAAGGTACAACTTCGTCACAGCAGTATGCGCGAAAGTGTCATAATCAGAGGAACAATTTTGTAAACGTGATAAATCAGTGGAGCAACGATTTCATATTTGTAGGCTAATAAAAATTTAGTTTGTTATGATAAATATAGCTGTTTAATCCTTCTAAAGACCTTAATAGAATGTAAAAAAACAAATTAGTAGGTACTTATCAAATGAAACGGAAGCTGCAACAGCACTTATACCAACACAGACAAAATAACTACATGGGAATTTATAACACATTAATTACAATAGGAGAAACATTTATTACACTTCCTGTTTTTGAAATATTAGGTTGTGGGACAGGTATCGTCTGAATCTGCAACAGCACTTATACAACACCGTCAAAATAACTACAGGGGAATTTATTTCACATTAATTATAATTTATTACAATAGGAGAAACATCTATTACACCTGTCGTTTCCGAAATATTAGGTTGTGGGCCAGGTTTCGTCTAAAGCTGGTCCAGCACTTATACAACACCGACAGAATAACTACGTGAGAATGTATTATACATTAATTACAATTAATTGATGTGCAATAATTTATCTCGTAGTTATTTTAGTGGTGGGGTATACGTGTTGGACCAGCTTTAGACGAAACTTGACCTACAACCAATTATTTTGAAAATTACAGGTGAAATAAATGTTTCTACTGTTGTAATAAATTGTATTTAATGTGTAATAAATTTCCCTGTAATTATTTTTGTGGTGGGGTATAAGTGCAGGATCAGCTTTAAAATAAACCTAGCCCACAACCTAATATTTCGGAAACGGCAGGTGTAATAAATGTTTCTTCTATTGAAATAAATTGTAAATAATGTGTAATAAATTCCCCCATAGGTATTTTGTCGGTGTTGTATAAGTGCTGTACCAGCTTTAGACGAAACCTGGCCCACCATCTAATATTTCGCAAACGGCACGTGTAATAAATGTTTCTCCTATTGTAATAAATTGTAATTAATGTGTTATAAGTTTTCCTGTAGTTATTTTGTCGGTGTTTTATAAGTGCTGGATCAGCTTTAGACGAAACACAATCGTAATATTTTGTAAACGGCACGTGTAATAAATGTTTCTCCTATTGTAATAAATTGTAATTAATGTGTAATAAATTCATCTGTAGTTATTTTGTCGATGTTGTATAAGTGCTGTTGCACTTTCAAACGATATCTGGTCCACAATCTAATATTTCGAAAACGGCAGGTGTAATAAATGTTTCTCCTATTGTAATAAATGCACATGTACTTATTTTGTTGGTGTTGAATAAGTGTTGTTGCAGCTTTTGTTTCATACCAGCCAATTTTATTATTATTATACAGGGCGTTTCCGAACCTGGCGTCCAAATTTGTAGGGGTGGTAGTTCGCATAAGTTGAGACCGATTCGCAGATTTAATTTTTGCAAAATATTTAAAATAAAAACAATTAAAAATTAATTAAAAATTATAAACCGGTACGGTCCTGCACAGCGATAGGATCGCTTCGACTCGCGCTCGCTACGCTTAGAATCGACAAAATTGCAAATCGCATCCGTTTTTGAGGACTATTGCTCTACGCGCTCAGGGTAGGACCTGCTTTTTGATTTTTTTATAATGGCTTTATTTTGTTTATTATAATTTTTTTAGAAAAATGAAATCTGCCAATCGCTCTCAAATTATGCGAACTACTACCCCTACAAATTTGGACGCCAAGTTCGGAAACACCCTGTATATGAAACACCATCCATATTATACCTTTTGTATTATCCTCTGTGAATTGGTTAGGGTGTGAAATAATTAATTGGTTTGAAATTCAAAACCAATTAAAAATTGAAATTTTTCTCTTTATATCCATTCGAATGATTAAATAATTATAAACATGGAAATCTTTTTGGTCAGTCAGTCGACAAACTGTTCATGCAAGAAATTTTTATTTTAAAAAAATTGTCTACCTTGGCTATGGATAATTTTTCCTCTAACATCTATATCTTATGTTATAAATATTATTTATAAAAACACAACACTAAATTATAAACAAACTTCTTAAAATACGCAAAAATCTAAAATATTCTGCAAATAAACTCTTCCAAACACAACTTCAAATGTAAATAAAAATATGGCCACTAACTAAACGCCATCGGTAAACGTCTACGAATTATCAATAGCGACACGATACTGAGGTGATCGTTGCTAGGTAAACAAGTCAAAACTTGGTTTCTACGACTGTCCTCATGTATGACGCTTATGTGCATTTCGTCGTTGATTCTACAATATCTGTTATGTGAAAAATATGTGAATCCTGATACACATATTAGCTATTACTGCCTATAGTTTGAATTTTGGCACATAACAGTGTTTTATTATTTGATTTATAAAATCAATGGATTTTTTTGGCCCATATCAGTTATTACCAACCGATGCACGAACGTTGATATAGATTGAATACAACCCAACCTAAAATTCGCCAAAAAGGGCACATAGCAAGTATTGCACAATCAACGACGATTTCTCAAATGAAACGGACTCTTAAGTCAATGTCGATGTTTACTAGCTTACTAACCTTTGTACAGTTGTCACGAAGCTATATGCCATTAAGTTCAGCGCCATCAATCAAATGTCAAATGAATAACCAAGCCATTCATATTTTAGGTTTCTCTGACGAACCCTGTATGTGCAAATACAATATTTTAAATACAGGGTAATATATAAAAGATTAGGTTGGGATTAGTTCTATCCACCAGAAACCTTCCCCACGTCGATTTTTCAAATAAATTTTTACTGTCCTTTCGTCATTTCGTCTATAATTTGGTTTGTTATATTAAACTCTAGGAAGTAGTTCTTATGTTTTGCTATTTTAACTTAGGAACCTTATAATGAACAATATCTTCTGAAGAAAAGAAAATATCAAAAATTACTTGAAGCTGTCATATCCTCAACTGCCATACATCAACTGCCTTACTGTAACCAATGTAAATTAAATTTTATGGAGAATATATGGAGAATATAACTATTAATTTTAGCCCTTCTAGCGGGGTATAAAACTATTATCTATTGTAAAATGTGGCACTTTATTTGAAAGCTAATTTAATGCACAACATAACAAAAGATAATTAAATAAAACAATAATTTAAATAGAATGAGAGTATTGTCATTAAAGTTAAAATTAAATCAATTTAACTTCAATCGCATTCAAATTAAATTTAATACTGTAATGATTTTTTAATTTAAAAAATAGTTTATTTAATTAATACAGTTTATTTATAACGTAATAATTAATTTATTTAAGACTTAAGCACTATTATAATTTTCACACTTCTAATTTATTTTTACAATTTATCTTTACTTGACAACACTTATACTTGAAACTAACTATCTGCAAAGAGTCATATTAGAAATGTTATATTCCAAAAAACTCTAGTTCTGCATTGATCTTGTCTAGAGAGATCTCGTAATGCTGCCGTCGTTGCTCGGTGATCTCTAGACGGTTGGGGACAAAGCGAAAATCCTTCCTCTATGAGTCGATACATGTACAGAAAGCTTACTTATAAAATTAGCTTTCAAATGAAGTGTCTCAATTTGCAATACGAAACAGTTTGAGAAACAGGTAAAGGGCGATAAAATCAAAAGGATTGCAACGAACAGTCATATTGCTAAATTCTCCATAAAATAATCTTTTTAATAGTGTCATACTTGGTAGTTTTCCCACTAAATTGTATTGGTTAGAGAGACGGATGGGAGGGGAATGACGTTTGACAGTTAAAGATGAGACAGAAATTTGGAATAAAAATCGATCTATTACAAGCAATTTTTAATATTTTCATTTGTTCAGGAGATATTGCTTACTGTAAATTTTCAACTTAACACCTTGCATAATTGTAAAGTAGAAAATTCGTTATCCATTATGACAAACAACAAATATGTAGGATTTATATCCGTTCTTCTTAGACAAAGCTGTTGCCCTGCGTAATTTCAATCTATAAAAAATTTTTCCAACCAACAATTAGCACAAAATCCTGATGAATATCATGGATAGAAAATTTTTGAATTTTTTTTTTTAATTTTTAGTGTACGGACTTGAAAAAAATGTTCTCGACATAACCACTATATGCATTGGATAACTGGTTGTTAGCTTCAAATCCTTTTTTTATGGCCTCGAGATAACCCTTCCTTATCAGAAAATGAACGAAAATGCGTCATTTCCTCTTCTCTCGTCAATATCTCGGGAACCAATGGCCGCTCAGAAAATAGAAGGGGGGGTTCGGAAACTTCGATTCATTCTCTACAAGGTTCTGGCATGTTCTTTCACGAGAAAATTTTTTCATCCCTAGCGTGACTTTAAAGAATTTCGGAAAACAGGTCTTTTCGAGGTTTTTTAGAAAATCACGTGCCACATTGAGAATATGTGGAAAAATGAATAATGTTGAGTGTGCATCTTACAGGCCATTGTTCCCTCGAAAGCCCTACAAAATTTCAACCTGATCCATCAAGCCGTTTCATTGTTTCATGGGAGTGAATTTTTGAAGAAATTGAAGGATCGCGTTTTTCTATCCATGATATTCATCAGGATTTTGTGCTAATTGTTGGTTGAAAAATTTTTTATCGCAAGATCCATAAACTACACACTTCAAGCTTTTTTTCATTCACGTACGACCATTTTTACCAAACATACAGCGACTCGAAAAATACCTTAATTTTTTCCACTAGTGTAATTTCCTGTGAGTATATCGAATCTCAAATTGCTAGTCTATGTTTTAATTGAAAAAATCTCTGCAGTTAACCAACTTAATTAGAATTTGCGTGTACAAGTTCTATATCCCAAAACCACCTACTTTAATATCTTTATAGATCTGGTCCAATTAAATGTCTTTAAAAGCATGCTTTCAAAACAAAATCACGCCAACTACTATTATTTGCTTCTGAACAATCTGATTATGTACTGTTACCCTTGGTATAAACTTGAGAGTCCTCTTTAAGGCAATCTCCTGACGCCCTATAATGTCCAAATTAAACATAATCTTAAATACGCTTTTGGGAAACCACGACTCCAAAAAACATGTTAGTCTTGATGATATTCAGTAGATTATTCTTTTGATTGGGACTCGGATCAGACTTAATATGTCATTCTTCTTGGTCACCGATGTTCATTTAGTAATCTCTCATTTTTCTATAGTAATTTTTCTCCAATAAATCACAACTATGTATGGTCTAACTTTAAACATCTTGAACCGACTTAGTTTATCAAGAACTTAGATTATCTGTTTTGAACAAACCCAACCTTTATAATTCGGGATAACAAAACATTTTCATTAGCCACTTATTTTGTGTGATCGCCGTGTATGATAAATATAGTTTATCGTAATAGTAATTTTGACTAAATATATATTTATCATGCTCCAAAGCATCATTTTATGTTTCAATCATATATTTATGTTCTTTTGCATGTTTGCCTCTTAATGCCAAAAAAACTTTTGCTTTGCAGAGTCCCTAATCGAACTTTATAGCGTAAGTTCAACAAAAACTTTAACAGAAACACAATTAAAATGTTCCTCTTTGCCTCCCGGATTATCAGCTCCAGGGGCAGAATCCAACAGGTTGAATAGGAGCAAATCCAATGCTGGAAGTAAATCGCAAGATCTTTTTTCTAAATTACCGGAAGATAACGATGAAAAAGAAGAGAAACTGTCGCTGCTTGATAGGATATTTCCCAGAAAGAGCAGTAGAAAAAAAAAGAAAGGAGATAAAGAATTTAAGAATGAAGGAGTTGTTAAAGAAAGTAAGGAGAAAGGTAAGAAAAACGCACTCACTGCATGCAGGGTTGTTAAAAATGTAATGGGATGTTATAATTGTCTCGTTATAATAGTTTTTATTTGTGTCTCTGTTTTTCATTATGTGTTTTATTGTGTTAGTTTATTTACTCTGTTATTGTTCCCATGCAATTTAAAATAAAAAGTTTTTTTTTTAATTAACAACATACTAGGAAGTTTCAAGTTTTTTAAACGCAAAGGAAATAAAATCTTATGGGTATTTCTATTCAATAAATTTTCAAGTCGACGTTGGTAAAGTTCATACCAAGAGTACTTTGTCTCATAACTTTACAGGTACATTTGCTTGCAGAAATGTAGTACACTTTATGTTAGCGTTTTAAACAGGCCCATCTATGAATTATTAATTTAGAAAAAGATCAATAATTGCCATATTTTTGTATCAATAATTTCGGAAAACTGTAATTCTTGTCGAATTAGTTTTGGCATTGTATTGAATATCATTTCGGGCTGTTATTTTACACTACCGATAAATTGCTTCTTTTTTTATTCACTCTCATGACTACGGGTTTTTATTTTTCAGTACAAATCTAGAATATTTTATAATGTAAAAAAGGAAAATAATTTCAAATTTTAATATGACCAAAACGTAAAATAAATGAAAACAAGAAATTTTTAAGCCATATGTCACAAAATAAAACGAGCGACGGTTTTCCTTCGGAAAACAACTACTCCTTTGGCTAATACCGCAACATGTATTGAATTATATTCAAAGGAAAGAGCAGATATATAAATTTAATTTCAACCCTCTAACTTTGATTTTGCTTATTAAAGACAACGTCCTTCTTGGACCGGTTTTGTCATTATTAGGACTCATCAGCAAGACATAGATATTTTTAATTCCAGTCTCTAATGGAAGGTTGGATGGAAAGTTGCGAGAAAATAAGTAATTACAAAATGAAAATGGTAACGCCACCTGCACTTAGTATCTGTATTTGTAACGTGTGGGGGATGGGTTGCCCCACGGCCCTTAGGCATAACTAGGCCTATTGTGCATGATTCTAAACTCCCTTCAAAATAAAACGGGCAAACATTTCCTTTTTTAAAAATTTCCCGCCTGGCTTTTGATTCCACTCAGTTTTTAAATTGGGTACTACCAGCGAGCTTTGATTTTGCTTACTAAGTGCAGATGACGTTACCATTATCACTTGGTGACTATTTATTCTCTCGCAACCTCCATCAATACAGGCGAGTGAATTTAACGTGTTTGCTTATTCCTTTAGAGACTGGAATTGAGAATGTATATTTCTTGCTGATGGGTTCTACGAAAGACGAAACCGGCATCCGGTAAAGAATGATGTTCTCTTTAGTAAGACAAATCAAAGTCAGAGTGTTGAAATTAAATTTTTATCTCTGCTATCTTTCCCTTGGATATAATTCAGTGCCTGTTGTGGTAATCCAAAGTAGTTGTTTTTCGAATGGAAACAATGTGTCGTTTTATTTTGTGTCACATGGTTTAGAGAATTTCTCATTATTTATTTATTTTACATTATATTTTTAGTCGAGACAGTTTTCACCTCTAATGTTCACCAATATTCACTTAATCAAAATACAAATATAAAGAAAACATGTCTTAAGATAAAGAATTTTACTGGTAATGCATTTAGGACTAATGGAACAAATTACTGGTTTAGAGTATTCTGAAACTTTGCCTGAAATTAAAATTAAAGGTAACCATTTTTTAATTGAAATGCACTGCTATTTCGTAACACAAAGTTGGTTAAAAGGAGAATTTGTATATTTCAAAGCCCAATAACCAAAATAACAGGGCCGTTTTCAGAGATATTCAATAGAAAACAAATTAGTTCCGTATCTTTATTCTACTGCAATACTTTTATTTTCAAAAATAGAGAAAAGTTCATACAGGATTTTTAATTTACATCATGTTGTGCATATGATAGTACATTTAATTTTTTTAAACGAGGTTTCGGAAATACAGAACGACCATCGACTTCTTTATTTGGTTATGAACCAGTATTATTTCGACAGGTCATTTTAATGCATGTTAAATTCTGAATACAATAATGTGACATAATGTTGTTATTAGTCAACGTTTCGGAAGATTTGAACATCATCAGGTAAGTTTACTTAATAGTACACCTGTATTATGAATTATTTGAAATAAGCAACTACTGTCTAAAAGCTAAATGTACATTTATGTCTCTTTATTTAATTGAAATACTTATGAAGAAAATTATAATCCCAGATAAAAATTTTACCGTTAGTGTTTAATATTCATAATTTCTAAATCAGATAGTACAGCATTTACTAATCCAAACATCTTTTACAAAAAAATACATGTTCGTACTCTTCTGATGATGTTCAAATCTTCCGAAATGTTGACTAATCACAATATGTTGTTACATCTTTTTATTTAGCATTGAATATGTATTAAAATGATTTGTCAAAATAACACTGGTCCGTATTCAAATAAAGAAGTTGATGGTGGTTCCTTCTTTAATGAGTTTTATCTATTTTTGAAAATAAATTTTCCCTAATGGAAATTGGATATCTCTGAAACCAGCTCTGATATTTTGGTTTTCAAAACGTCCTTAGATTGGGCCTCTCCATTCAACCAACTTTGTGGCGCGGTATACGAATTATATTGTACTCTGTCAACAGTTTACGAGAATTTTACCAGCCGATAGTCTATAAAAAGTAATAGTCATTTTGTCCGATAAAATATATGGTCCAATTTTTTTCTTTTTTTGATGTATATGATTTTTTTTATAATTTGGTGTCATCGGCATCACTTACTAAGATTATTAGCTCCGTGTTCTGTATAAGCTTTGTTACTGTTTCCCAGCGCCGCTTTAGGAATAGCACTGTTAATCAGAACCAAACAGTGAATGGTCGAGAATTCTACTTATACATTGAAATTAATATTCAATTTATTAAATTAAATAAAAATCCCTGACACTAGCGGGATTCGAACCTGAGACCCTTTAATCTCAAAGTCATGATTCTTACCACTAAGCCAACCCACCCCTGTATAAGATGTTATTTACTAGTTTTTTTATTAAAGGTAAAAAAGGCTAACCGATTTTAATTAAATTTCCACAGTTTGTTGAAAACTTTATGAGATGTCTTTCGGACATGTTACAATTATTGATCCAGTAATTCCAGAGGCGTGCTCACAGGGAGGGCACTCCGATTAGTTTTCGGCACAAAAAAAAAATATCTCCCCGTAGATTTTTTTTAATAATCTAACTAAAAATATAACTTTTTTGTCTCTTAAATTTTTTCATATCTTTGTTTTCGAGAAAAATAATTAAAACTAAGAATTTTGCATGTCTCTGAACACCTGAACCGTGTACATCAAAAAGAATGCAAAATTGTATCATAGTTTATTGGAAAAGTACCTTTATTTTACGATAAACTATCAGCTGATGAAATCCCTATGATATAAAATGGACCACCAGTTATATATCAATTAAAAATTGGTCACCCTGTTTATAAACACATTAAATTGTAAGAAACTTTTTATGTATTTGTTTTTAGAATCGGAAATAACCAAACACGAAACGATATCATCTAAACATGAAACTACCGAAACAGATTGGGTGAGATCCTATACTGAGATAACGACACGAAAAATGGAAACTTCCAAACCTATACCTGCCCCCAGATCGGGACCGGCTTCCAGGCAACGCGTACTGCCTATGGATATCATCGAAACACATGAAGAAGTAAAAAAAGAATCAATCGTACTTCCAAAATCGTCACCAGAAAAGAATAGTTTAGAAAGTACTTCACCTCTTCAAGTCGAGCTTGAGAATCGATTCAAGCAAAGACAGGTATGTATTCCGTATTAGATGTACAAAAGAGTTTGATAGAATATGAATCCGTATATTTACTCCTATTTCATTTTTATTGTTATTAACTAGTTCTCTTGAAACCATAACATCTCGGAATATTATATATTGTTGCATTTTTATATTTTAAAAATACTGCGACGTCACTAATCACTGTTATCGCCAACACAGCTAATACGTTTGTTGGATGGATTACGGTCCATAAAATGTTCTTTATTAAGTTACAAAACTGAAATGCAATACTACAAAAAAGATTGTTAACAGTAACGTTGTAAATTATATTTTAAGAAAAAAATATTGTATATTATAGTTAAATTAAATAAAACTTTCAATATGAAATGTTGAAGTCCCTGTAATATTTTAACTGATTTCTAATAAAACATTGTTCATTCTGTGCGAATGAAAATTCATTAGGTGTATTTTAATCATCCGCTTCTGCTTTGAATTATCGGTTTTCCCGTTTTGATTTGATGGGTCAAAACGACAAAATCGGCCATTCAGAAGCAGAAGAGTATAATTAAAATGCACCTATTGTCACATTTGGGTCCGTATTTATAAACAGATCTTAACCAAGTCCGACTCAGCTGAGTCGTCCCATTATATCGCATGAATTTAGAGATGGATAGTAACAAATTCGTAAATGTACTTAACAGTTACATATTTGCTACTATCCATCTCTAAATTCCAGTGTAACACCGGAACCACCTGGAACTTTAGAGAAGTTGTAACCGGACTTCGATTTTCGTTCAAGGACGACTCACCCAAGTCCGACTCAGCCGAGATCTATGCATAAATACGGGCTTTAGTATTAGGCACTCCAAATAAAATGGTTGCCCGTGGGCATTGATATGGTAACCCTGTGGGCTTGGTGGATTCGCCAGTGTCAATAATATAGACAGTTGTATAGATTGATCATCCATTTTTTTCAAAATAATCATAAGCTCATGCCTTGAAGTAAAAATGTATGTAATTATTTTTTAAATTATGTTCGAAGCTGAAAATTGGTTTTAAGCACACCATGGCCGCTTTAAATGCGAACCGCTTTGAGCAGGCCCTCAGGGTTGTCATATCGATGCCCACAGGCAGTTTGACAGGTTGTTGGAATACCTAATTGTCATTTACCTGATGTAAAATGTAAACAAGTGTCTACAGACATCTCATCCATGGAACAGTACGAAAGGATTCCATTTACACAAGAGTATAAATCGCTAAAAACGTAGACTAAATTATTTTGCCTCGGAGAAACTTGTAACAGAAGTTATTTTATACAGGGTGTCCCATTAATGCGTGATTGTTCAATATTTCAATTTATATTGTTAACACGCAAACAAGTTTCAAATGAAAGTTACATGGATTTAAAAATACGTATTTTAAAAATATTTTTGGATTACAGGGTGTTCCGTTTTTGTCTGGCAAATAAAAATGTATATTTTTAAATATAACACCCTGTATTTTATTTCAGTTTTAGAATGGTAATTCTGTATTCAATCCTAGATTTTCTTTTTAAATATTACAGGTTTGCCAAGCAATTAATTTTTTAAGAAATTAAAGAATGATGCAGACCCCAAATTAATTATCATTATTTAGGTAGGTTTACAATAATTTCAAAATTGTTTAAAATACAGACTCATAAGATACTAATGTAACGAATAGTGGTGATAGAACTGGTTTATTTTATACAGAGTGTCTTAAAACATATCCTAAATATGGCTATTTTAAGTTCAATTTACTCAATTTTTTCAAATGCAACACCTTGTATATTATTTTAGAATCAAATTATTTATAAATTACCTATCCAACGATACCGACATGTTGGCCAATAACACATATACGGGGTGGGGTGTCTCATCAGTGCGTAATTGTTCGATAGCTGTTTTATTATTGGAAATACAAAAAAATATATAAAAGTTGTATGACCATGTTTAATAAATATTCTTAAATATACAAGGTGAACCAAACATACATTTTTAAAGCAAAACATCCTGCAGGTATTTATACGTATTTGATCGTCAAACAATATTTAATAGACTTTATTTATTTGATATGTAATATATAGGGTGTGTCAAAATGCGGAGTAACGATTTTCTCAATATTTTTAACGGATTGCCCTATATGTTATACCACCAATTAATAATACAGGGTATTCCATTTAAAAAAATTGAGAAAATCGTAACTTCGCGTTTTGTATATTATAGGGTGTATACAACATAGCAAATGAATGAAGTCAATTAAAATTGTTTGACGATGTGAAAACAAGGGTGTTTTGCTTAAAAAAAGTATAGATTTGGTCAGCACCTCGTTTATGGACCACCATGTATATCTAAGAATAATTGTTAAATATGGTAATACAACTTTTATATTAAAAATTTCTTCGTATTTTTAATAATAAAACGGCTATCGACCAATTACGCACTGATGGGACACCCTCTATATGTGTTATTGGCTAACATATTGGTATCGTTGTATAGGAAAATTTATTAGGAATTTTATGCCAAGAAAATATACGGGATGTTGCATTGGAAAAAATTTAGTAAATTGAATTTAAAATTAGCTATATTAAAGACATGTTTTAAAACGCTCTGTATATAATAAAACATTATTCGTTAGCTTAGTATCTTATAAGTCTTACATTAAACAATTTTGAAATCAATGTAAACCTACCAAAATTATGATAATTTAATTTGGGGCCTGTATCATTCTCTATTTTCAAAAAAAAATAATTTCTTCTAAAAATAAAATATTTAAAAAACATACATTTTTATTTACCAGGCAAAAACGCAACACCCTGTATATCCATTTTTAAATTATGTATTTTTCAAGTCCATATAACTTTTATTTGAAACTTTTTTGTGTGTCTATAACACAAATTGAAATATTGAACAATTACGTACCAATGGGACACCCTGTATAAATAAAAGTTTCTTGGTTAGATCAGTCACAAAAAAATTTAATTTTTTTTAAAACAGTTGAAACCTCTTTTACATCGTGTGTAGGTCTACTTATTCGAAAAAAAATTCAGAACATTTTTTTGTGTATGTATTTTTTGAAATTAACTTCTTGATAACATGAAGGTGATTTTTAAATCCTTTTAGGGAGTGTCGTATTTCATTTGTATTTTGTACATTTTTTAAATCAGCTTCTCAAACCTCATCAAAAAAAAAATAATTTCACTTGCTTACTTAATTAGCTTCATTACTAACTTAATGTAAATTCTCCATAAAACTAATGGCAATCACTTTTATCTGTGGAAATCTAGCCAAACGTGTATGTTCGTATGTGACCCCACTTTGCTCAAACTTTATTGCCGCGCTGTAACGTTAGCTGGGCCATATAAACTGGCAACGCTGATATTATTCGCTAACTCTCTGTAGTTTTCGCATGCATTTGTGCAAAGCGTATTGGAAAGAATTCGATAGCCGATACTGTATACAAGGTGATTGTAAATATGGACAGAAATTAAATGACATATGCTCGTTTATTTTAAAGAGAAGAGAAACGATTTGTCACTTCAATTTTTATCTTAATCGAGCCATTTTATAAACTAAAAAAATATGTCTTTTCTATAATTTCCTCCACATAACAGCCAACCTCTCATTTTTTTTTTTAAATAGCAAGAGGAATCGTATGACACTTCATTGAAAAGGTAATTTAATGGGATTTTCAGCAATATGTTTATTGCGTTACTTTTGATTTTAGCGCCCTCTAGCGGGATAAAATAATATTATGTGTTGTAAAGTGTGACACTTTATTTGAATGCTGATTTTATTAGTACATCAATGAACTACGTACTACTATCCTAAAAAAATTACTTAAAATATTACATTATTACTAACTTTATTTTAGTGCGCAAATGACCTCATTTCATATATTCTTAGAAGGAGGTGTGTGTTAAAGAGAACACTCATATTTTGGAGTTTCAGTTCAATATGAAGGTCAATGCATGACCCCCCAGAGTTGGTATAACTAAGAGGGTTGCGAAATAGAGCCAATATGTGGATGAAAGGGTCACTAAGGGAAACGGGAAAAAGTATTTGGCTTAAGTTAGCAATATTATTCGCCTCTTGTAAAGCAATAAAACTATGCGGTAAAATGTTGAGTTTTCTTTCTTTTTAATACTTTTCTGATGTTCGTTTGCTGAAAACCAAAATTATCGTTTGTCCAAGAATAACTGTATTATAAAAACATCTAATTATTAGTTACAACGTGGTTTAAATGGAATGAACAGTCAACGTTTGCATTTGATATTCTTCACAAAAATACTGTTACACTGGTTCTTGGTAAAGTAAATTCATTTCCAAACTCACACTTTTACAATACAACTATATTAACATTACAGTTCAACAAATTTCTAGAGGTGTTCGACGCCCAGACAGAGAACGCGCTACGTGTGACTAAGACAGCTATTGTACAGTCTGCTAAACAAGTTATTTTAAATAGTTTTTAATATTTTTAGGTAATTAAATTTTAAAAGTGTGGAATAGTTTAGGGATTAAATTGGTCTGATTGGACTTTCTTAGAACGTTTTTAAAAGCAGCTAAAGATAGTATGTAGAATTGAAAATAATTATTATGCCATAAAAGGTGTTTTGGAATTCCTTCAACCTTTTGAAATTGAGTCAGAAAATATAAATTTTATAGGATAGCGGAAAATACCTATAATTTTTTTGTAGGCCTTTGTAAATCGTGGAAATAGTTTATATTTTATTTCTACCTTATTAAGGAAAATGGTACCTATTATTAATAACGGTTGTTTCTGAAACATTACTAAAATTTTCGAAATTTTGTTTTTCTACAAAATAATAAACTATACCATGTTCTAGTACGGAAACTAGCTTTACATTTTTGTTGGTGGTTTCATGGGTTTCATATCAATTTTTTGTAATTGTAGTTTACACGTACATATACCTCTTAACACTTGTTTGCTTTATTAAAAAAGTGTGTTGTTGTGATTTACGTCGAAATAAGTCAAAAACAACTTGAAACCCCATATAAAATCAAAAAGGAGAAACGGAAAAAATTGAGCCTGTAAATGAACACAACTCAGAAACAAAAATAGCTATCTAATAATAAAAAAATAAAATTTGATTCTTGTGCAGCTTCATCTATATCATTAACTGTTTTTGGTTTTTTAATGGTTTTTCTTGGTGATGAAAATTCCGATATCTCACGGTTATCGATTCTTTTTTTCTCTCCAGAAATGCGGACGACAGTGTTTTTAGATACTCCTGTGGCTGCAGCAACACGATCATTTACATTTTTAAATGGTATTGAAGGTGAATTAAAGTTTCCTTCTCTTCTCATAAACTGTATAACATTGGCTATTATTTCGCGAGATTGACTGTTAATCACGCGGCCTCTTAATTTGCTATTAAACTCCATACTTAGGTTCTATTAAACTGTAATGAGCAAAAAACACAAACGAAAATAAAAGAAATGTTTTAGCGAAATTTACATCTGACATTTACGTCTGAATGAAATAGTGAAATACTTGATGCGCAGAGTGTACTTTCATTGCGTAAATCCGTCGGGATGCCTGTCAGTAGTGCTTTCTCTGTCTAGCCGTCGAAAGCCTCTAGAAATTTGATGAACTGTAACATATAATGGCTTCATAAAACTGAACTGTGACGTCAAAATCATCTCCTTATATAGCTCCCCCTGGATTTTCTCGAAACTTCCACATGTTTTCTGGAAACTTCCAGATGTATACTCGAAACTTCCAGATGTTTACTCGAAACTTCCATATGTTTCTAGACACGGAATGGAAATATATATTGCACTTCAGACATTTCTATACTGTTCTCTCTTCTTCTTTTATTCGTATTTTTACTTCACATCGTGTGAAGGTGTATTCAAATACACCTTCACACGATGTGAAATAGAAAGATGGCGTTCAATTATTTTAAATTAAATTAAATTAAATTGATTAAAAAATTTTAAACTGTTTGTATTCGTCCCCATACTTTTTATAAATTGACTGCACCAGAAGATGGAAAAATTGTATTTTCCGAAACATATGTAGTGCTAAACAATAGAAAATAAACAACATTGACCGATTAAACCAAGCAAATTTTTATTTATATAAAATTCTGCTACGGTCAGGAAATTATCCTTATTCAAATTATATCAAGGATGTCTTCATCTTGTCATCTAAGAAAATTATTGTAAAATAAAACAAACCAAAATTGAAAGTAGGTATTCTACATCTTAGATTATGAATACTTGATTAAATTTAAATATTTAATCCTAAAAAAAATAGAGGTTTGGGGTTAATAAAACCCACCTAAAAACAAGAAAAAATATATTTTTTTAATTTTTGAGGCCGTGTGTATTCTGTGTAGGTTCCCCCCCCCCCCCCGCCACTGTAGGAATAGCTCTGTTAATTAGAACACTACGGTGAATGGTGGAGTGGGGAATCCTACCTTTACTTTAGAATTAATTTTTAATCAATTAAACTAATTTCAAATAATCCCGGCCAACGGTGGGATTCGAATTGCATGTATATTTTTTAAAAAACCGCCTACCGCCTATACATTTTTCTAGCATTGGCAGGCTATTTCGCAACTAGACATATTTACCCTGGTGTGGACCTTAATAAAATACAAAAATTAATATTGACAAGTCGGTGGTGTAGCGGTCTCACGCGCTTATATTTATTTATAGGCAAGATTCTGGTCAGAGACAGACGGGCTTCGAGTCTTACCCCAGACCATGTGGATTTTTAATTAAATTGCATGGTTTGGTATAGGATTTGATGTGTGTCGTATTAATAGAAATTCAATTTCTGTTGATATGACATGCAGATTATAAAATCACCATGCATTACTGTCTCGATGATGGTGGGTGAGGTTTTCCGGGTTTCCTCACCTGTAAGTCAAATGGCACCGGAGCGCCACGGCAAATAATAATAATAAACGTCCTTTTCCCAGGCACAAGCTCAGCTTTTGGGGTTAAAATTCACTCGTAAGGGGGTGAATTAGGGAGAGTATTATTATTATTAACCTTTTTATTTTTTAATACGCCATATTATTGTGATGAAATTTTGGTCCCTTTGTCAATTAGTTTTTTATCAAACTTTTAACAAAAGCATCAATAAATTTGACATATTCGTTTTTACGGTTTTTTTTTTTTCTAAATATTTGCAGCTCATAAAAAATAGTTTAAAGGTATGAAATTGGTAAATAAATGGCTGTATATTTAATGCATGTTATCTACTTACTTTAGAAATATATTTATTAAAGTTAAAAAACGATATAATTTGTGTAAACAAAATGAACAAAATGCACTCAAAAAGTCTACTGTCATTTTAATTGTCAGAGGAACCAAAATTAAATCATCACTATTAGCATATTGACCTTCTACAAATGAGCAAAAACACTAAATTATTCTTATAAATTTCACAATTATTCTACCATTATCGTATCTGCTTTATAAGTGTACTATCAATACATTTTATGTATTGCCCTTGTTTTAGTAAATTCTAAAAAATAAATTAAAAATCGTGTAACTTCTGATAAACCAGTATAAAAAAATATGTTTTAAGTTGAGCCCCCATTTGGAGCCGCATATACCCTCCATCCCTTTTCTACGTGCCGTCCTTGGTATTCATTGAGTTCGCTTTTATTCCACCAGGTTATATGTCAAGTAGTTCAAATAAAAAATAATGTCTCATATCATTTCGTATTGATTTTAAATAATATATTTTTGAGATAGAGATTTTTTTTAGATCTCCTTATCTACTAGTCCTTCATCGCCGACTGCCAAAACTTTGGAAAACTTTACTACCCCGTTGTCTCCAAGAAGCCCTATCGCACTAAGAAACTCCAAAAATCCCAACCTCCCAACTGTGATATCCTCCAAATACGATTATTCTCAAGTTTCGAGATCATCAACCACCACTAAGTATACAGAAACAAAAACAAAGAGCGAAGAATTTAAACATAAATTAAAAATGCCAGGTTTATCTTCCTTGCAACAACGCGTTCTATCCCTTAATGAAGATGATTCTGAGAACAGTTTCAGGTCTTTAACTGAGTTGCAATGTGAACACAAACCTTTAAGACCCATTTCAAAGTCTCACAGCTTTAAGACTGTGAAACAAACAGAAAGAAAAGCGGATAATATCAAAACGGAAACTCAAGATTTTTTGAATAAAGAAAAGGATATAAGCAAAATTACTTTTACTAAAGCAGCATCCTTAGATAGCGTTAAAAATCTTGACGATCCAATGCACTTATCCGAAGTTAAAATAGAACTGAAAAAGAAACCAGAAATTATAATAAAGACTGAACAAAAAGTGATAGAGTCTTCAGAACCTACAATTACTATATCGGGACCCAGTCACACAGCAGTGGTTAATGTTACTAGCAATGTTGACGACTTTAGTAGTTTGTCTAAAAAGCAAACTTCTGAACATGTAGATGGCTCTACAACCATTTCCATCAAAGAACAGCAAGTTTCCGTTACTAAGATTCAAGTTAAACGAGAATCTACACAGGTTACTCAAAGTACAGTGTCTGTACCAAAGGCCAGCGTGCCAGAATTTTTAAATAAACAGCTGAATAAAGTTGAAGTTAAACCAAGTAATATTATTCTTTCAATGAAGTCGCCTAAGATTATAGAAGACCAAAATAGACCCAAAACTTTGTTTAATTTTGATATTGATTCCGACGTGGCAGCCAAACCACCAACCCCGAAAAAATTCAGTAGAGAAAACATAGAAATCATCGAAAAAGAAGATCCTACGCCTTCTCCAAAAACGCCTCCAATTCTTAGTGTAAGCTCACCTAGATTTAAGAAAAGTGAAGGAAGCAATTCAAGAAAATCTTCAATAGTATCTATCACTCCAGAGTCTCCTGTTAGAGAAAGACCATCAATAAGACGAAAATCATCTAGTCTTTCATCTCTTAATGATTCTGACAAGTCTTCGCAGGATAGTTTGGAAAAATTAGATGAAAAACCAAAAGACAAAGATAGTTCTGTTGGTGAAAGTGTTATTTTACGTAGAAAATCTGTTGCTTCTAGGAAGAAGGACGATGAACCTGAGCTGATGAAGGTTTTTGCGAGGCGATCACTAAAACTTAAAGACAGCGATATAGATGCTTTACAAGAAAGTATCAAAGACACTAAAACTAGAGATAGTGATAAAGAAAACCAAGGCGATTCTCCTTTAGATGAAAGGAAAAAGATTTTTAGTAAACTAGAAGCTGAAACAGAAAGGCCTAAAACAGACAAGCTTAAAACTGAAGTAAAACCAGAGGAATCAGTAAAAGAACCCCTAGTGGAGACTAAAGAAGCCGATAAGGGACAAAATAGTTCTCCGGTTGTGCTCAGAAGAACTCAAAATAACAATCTCTTCGCTGGCCAAAGAGCTGTGACTATAAACCCTTCAAAAACTTCGGATTTTATTATAAAGAAACAGACGAATTTTAGTGAGCATAGAAAGACGGATCAGTGGATTTCTAATATGAAGAACGAGGAGGTGGAGTTAAAGGAGAAGATCGTACAAGAGGATATATTGAACAATATATCGCCTAGTGGGGATTTTATTATGGAATCGAAGAATTTTAGTCAGAGGAAAGCTGAATGGGAGAAGAGGGCTCAACAGGCAAAGAAACCTTCACCTTAATAAAGTGGGTAAGTTTTAATGTATGTTGGTAAAATATATATTTTTTAAATTTTTATTTATAATATGCATACATTATAAACAAAGAAACTCTTTTTGACCAGATTTTAAAAATTATACATATCATACACCTAGCAGCAAAAAAGTATTGCATAATTTCAATAAACTTTAAAAAATCCAAAATACTAATATTTTTTGTATTAATTCAAAGTAAATACACAAAATAAAGTATATTCAACTTTAATAATTCAAAATAACAATTTCATTTCCAAGACAAATAATTAAAAAAACATGGGCATGCGATTTATTTATAATAAAATATACCACACTCATTTTTATTTTCAGTACCTCGAATTTCCACAACTTGGCATGCTAATAATAAGGTTTCTAATGTCATTTTTTGTTATTGTCTTCCATGGGTCGCGGAATTTTGTTCGAAACTTTTTTGTTTGAAGAAAATTTCTTCGTAAACATTTCGTTGAAAGTTATTTACCTCGAAACACATTTTGTTCGAAAAAAAATTTCCTCGAACATATATTTAATCGAAAAAATGTAATCAGAAGGAATTGTGTTCGAAAGAATATTTTTTCGAACATTATTTACTAACCTATCATATGCGACTAATAACCTCATTAAAAACTTGTTGTCACAAAACATTTTTGGTATTTTTGCATTTAAAGCTGGTATACAGATTATGAAAAATATATAAGTGCCATAGGGTATATACACTGTGAGTGTACAACCATCTTTATACTTTGTGTACAAAGCTAGCGTGTCAATACTTACTACCTCTCCTGCGTTTGATATTGCTTTCTTTTATCAATCATTAACCTAAACTATCTCAAAACTCAAGTTTAGTAATTCATAAACTGCTTGGGGGTTGTTCTCTGTGAACAAGTAAAGATAATATTTACGAAGATTCTTCTGATTATAGAACTAAGAATTATTTGCAAGTGACAAATAATGTATAATTCTTCAAATAACTGTTGTGTAGATTATATCACTCGCAATGTAATAATTTTCTATACTTTTAGTTCATTCGTAATCGATAATCATACACCATACTTAACTAATAGCTGATAATCATGCTTGGTACATTAATGTTGTAAAGATCTAGTAGGCACGCTTGTCATATTTTATTGCGTTCAGACTGTAACTGTAAATTATTAAACTGTCATATTTTATTAATTAGTGATATAATCTATTGAATACAATTTGTGCTATCCGGAATATGGATAGTTACATAAATTATTGTATTCAGCGTATTGCCAAATTAATTTCACGAGTCCGAAGAACGAGTGAATTAGCTTTTGAGATTGTCAATAATTTCGATATCACTTGTTGTTTTATATATGATAATTTCTTAGCTATAATGGTTTTGAAAGTAAAATAAGTATTCATACAAAATTCTAAAAATAAAATAAAAGGAAATTCTTAATAATAACAAAAAATAATTAACAAAAACTAAAAAATTATTAAAATGGACAAACTACGAAATCTAGCCAAATAAAGAATTCAAATTCAAAGTTGGTTTATTGTTATTTCTACAGTGGTATATAATGTTTTCCTTAGGGCTTAAATTATCAGGATTAGTAGCTTTTTCCCATTCATATCTATATATTTTTTTTTAAAACCCCAAAAAAAAAATCGTTTTGAGCCTGGTCTGATAACCTAGCAGGCCATTTTATCGTCCTATAAGTGCTTATCAAGCGTTCTGGGAATGTTTTTCACAAAAAATGAATCACCAACTAGACATCCATCTTGCTGAAACCAGATATCCTCGAAATTAACATCGAATAGAACCTGCACTACAGAAATAAAAGGGCTATATGTGGTCCCCTAAAATAACAGTCCAAACATTTAATTTCTGGGGGTAATGAGTGCGTGTCGGATTACCTAAATGTTTATTTTCCCTAGACCAATATCTCACTATGGATGGATTATGTTTGTTGTGCAATAAAGTTGACTCGTCGGTAAATAAAATGTGTATTTAAAAGTTTTCGTTTTGGTTCTGCCGATCCGCCCTAATTTCGTAAAACTCCATCCGCTTGAAATTGTCCTCTGGAAAAATTTATTGGGTTTGCTGGACTTTAAAGCATTTCCATTTCTTTTCTGTATATTCCGTACAGTTCTGGACATAATATTTAACTCGTTCTCTGGATACGTGCGGCAAAATATACCTCCTGGAATATTGTTATAGTTTTGCTATTTCCTTGAAACTATCAAAAGTGAAGTTATTTTTTAGAAGTGGACAGATACATAATTTTGTTATGGAGCGATCAAATGATGGCCGATTTTAATACGCCCTAGTAAATAAATTTATTACCTCGTCCATGGAATTACTCCTAAAGTACCAGTTTAAAATTTGTAAACCAAGAGAGAGAATTTTTTATCATAATGAATTATACAATATGGCTCGTATACTTTTTTCCAAAGTTGTATATGAGACAGACAGATCACTCTTCATGCGTTACCAGCTGAAGACAGGTTAAAGTTGTATGTAATATACAATTCACCGGGACAATAATTGTCCCGGTGAATTTGAGTGGACATAAATCTTGTTGTTTTATCACTGCTTTCTGTTCAACAAAGTCAATCGAATATCTCGAAATATTGTGTAATATTAATAAAACCAAAGCAAATGCGTTTACTTTAAATTTTTCCAAATTTTTATAAATTTTTCCTGTTGGGTTATCACATGAGAAAAATCTAAGTTAGGAAATACTAAAAGTAAATTATAAAAATGTAAAAGCATTTGCTTCGGTTTTATTAATATGACTCGTTGTTATTTTATGCGTTTGAATTCAAAATTAATATTTTTTATCAATCAAGGTCTCAAGCAAAAGCTAATACAATATTTACAATTAGCAATAATATTTTATACATCAGTTATAGGACTATTTAAAATAATAAAAAAGAAAGTTCCAGTATACTAATAAAACATAATACAAAACAGAAACAACAATATTAAAAATTGTCCAAACATGTTCTAAATAGCTATTTATCTAATTTTAACTAGTTTATTTATAAAATTTTGTGTTGATAAAAAATTACTGACATCTAGGCAACCAATATTATTTTCTTGTATTGACGACTCTTGAAAAAGGTATAAAATTTAAATTTAATTTTTTTTGTGGTTCAACCCTGGACCAAAAGTTATTAAAAAAAGTTGTTTAAATTGAGCATCTAGGTCCATATACCAAATTTAAAAATCCTCGGCCAACTATGATTTTAATTTATTTTGTCAATATGAAAGATCAAAGTTGGCCCACGATTTTGAAATTTGGGATAGACATATTTTTTAAATTTAAGCAACTTTTTTAAATAACTTATCTGTTACCGAAAAGCTATACTATCTTGACAAAATAAATTAAAAATCATAGGTGGCCGAGGATTTTCAAATTTGGTATGTGGATCTAGATGGTGATTCTAAACATCTTTTCTTAATAACTTTCGGTCAACATAGAAGGCACTTTACTTCGGTTTTCTGAAAACAAAGACTTTTTTTTTTTTTTTTAATTTCGTGTCATCGGCGTCGACTACTACGGCCATTAGCCTCGTGTTCTGTGTAGGCTTTGTTACTGTTTCCCAGCGCCACTTTAGGAACAGCACTGTTAATTAGAACCCAACTAAAATATTGTTGAATATTAGTCTTTAAGCAAGCAGGACTGAACCCCAAAAAAATGGAAATATAAATTGAAAATTTAGTATCTTTTCCTAGAGAAGTTTCACCTCCATTTATATTGATTTTAAAACCATAAAAGATTTATTTTTATTTGCTTTCTTTTCGCGACTGGTGACATAATAAATTTTTCGTAACGACTTTCATAATGTTCAACATTATGCAACTAGTTATGTGAATTAGATCATTTTGACACTTACTGCGATTACAAAAGATATCACTTTATATGTCAAAATTAGGAAAATATATTTTCGAACTAAATTTGAAGCTCGTTAAATTTGGGGAGATTTTAAAATCAGCTGGTAAACTTTTATCATGATTATATCAGAGTCAAATATACTTTTTCTGTAGACGACAACTGTGAGGGATTTAATGTGTACATCGTTTCTTTGTATGGGTATTGTGAGAATGAATTTATATGATCGGAATTGCAGGTTTATTGATAAATATTGTGCCCATATTGTTGATTAATTTATATAGAAAAATTAGTGTTTTAAACCTTAACTGGTTTTTTTTTTTTTTTTTTTAGATATTCAGTTTCATTGTTCCTGAACAATATTAAGAGTGCTTGTGCATGCAGCAATCATGCAAAAGCGGCAAAAGTACATAAATTTTAAAAATAAATTGTAAATGTTTAAGTAGGGCGTTGGTAGTTCATTGGTAGAATGTTCGCCTGTCACGCGCCAGTGCCACCTTTTTTATTTTTTATTAAATATTTTTGTAAAAATTCAAATTACTGTAAGCAGCAAAAAAAATTAAACCATAGTTATTCCAAACTGTCAAAGTTACACCATTCATTATAATGTTCATAATTAAAGTTTATAATGTTTTCCAAAAAAAATATGTATACTTATTGTTAATTTATTTGAAAATCAGTCCAGATATTGTGTTTATTTTAAAATAATGAGAGCTGTTGATGTCACATTTTCGTGTTATGACTGATTAGATTTTTACGTAGAAAGAAAAACGCTCTATATAGCGCGGCAAAATCTTAAAAATGGCTCGCTCAATGGCAATTGTCAACTTTCTGTTGAAAATAGACATTTCGAAATAGTTCTTCTACACCCACATAGATATTAGCTTATCAATGCACAGACTACAAAACGAAAAAGTAAGTGCCATTGCGTTCAACTGAACGAATATATTTTATATATCCATTCTACCTAGTAAAAAAATTAAATCCACCAATCACAGTTCATATTTTGGTCACCCGGCTACTATTATTTTTTTAAATTTTAAATAAGAGACAATTCTGTCAAACTAATTGTCAGTATATTTTTTAGTTATTAAGATTAAATACACGTAAAAATGAGTTATTCTT